ACTCACACACACAGCTGTGGCGGGGCCGGGGCGGATGCGGCTGTTTGAACAAGCCGGGCCTGTGGGGGCGATGAATCACCATCACTGCCCCTCCAACTGGAGGCAGTGCGCAGGCCACAGCACAGCTCCCTGGGAGCCCCGCTAATGAGCCGAGCACAGAACCGATGTGCTCCAGAAATAGTTCGCATGTCGGCCTCAAGGTGTGCACAAAAGTGTCCACAGAGGAGACTCCATCACCTGTTTTAACGCCTGAAAAGATGCCCAGGAAAGCACTTCATTGGGACTGGGGAAGGGGCGGCGAGAGCTCAGAGGGCCAGGCTGCAGGTTGTGCAGGAGAGTGGACTGCAGGCGGGCAGGTGTGTGCTGGCACAGGAAAGGCCCGTGGGTCCCAGAGTGAGGACCAGTGAGCACTGGGTACATGAACAATGAGGGGCCACAGAGCCACCTCTGGCTTCTGTGTGGCCTGGACTCCTGTTCACTGAGAGGTGGGAGAAGCTGGCGGAAGCCAGGCCCTGAGATCTGACAGATACTGGCCCTCAGTGCCCAGGCCCAGACTCTGTCCCCACATGGATGCTGTGTCCCTCGAAACCAGGCCGGACGTACAGGGAGGAGCCTCAGAGGACGTGGCAGATGAGGTCTGAAGGTAGCAGCAAGGGGTGGGGAAGCCAACAGGTTGGCGATGCTGGAGTAGGAACTCCAGGCTGTCTCCCCAGTGCTGTGGGCCCAGACTCATGCTCTGAGGGACTGTCAGCACTGGGCTTGACCCCAAAACAGATCAGCACGGAAACAGCACCCACACACCAGGCACAAGGGAGCCCCCAGAGCAGACAAGAAGAAGCAACCTGGGCCAAGTCAAGCACCAGACACTCCCACCCCCGAAGTGTCACAGCTGGGTCCTAAACCCGCCCTCCCTGGCTCCAGGCCTCCACTCTGGGGGTTCCCAGCTCTGCCTCACCAGGCCACCCCAGCTCACCTGAGCCACAAGGCCCCTGACCAAGCCTATCACATCCCCAGGTGACCCTAGCCAGGTCCTTCTACTGTGCTCCCACCAGATCCCAGAGAAAAGGCCATCAGGAGGGTACAGCCCAGGCCTCCGGACCACCCTGAGTGAACTGGAACCTCCTCATACACCAGCACTTCCCTGGACAGGGATCAGGCGAAGCTGTAGCCCTGGGGACACAGCAGATGACTCACCCCCTTTCCTTCTCCGAATGGAGGCTTGGAATCAAGAAACAGAGCAAAGGGGGTAAGAGGCAGGCTTCATCCTCAGCACCTGGGCCCCATTCCCCACTCCCTTTGCCCCACCTCTCTTCTCCCACCCCTTCTAACAACCAGGACCTCCCAGATCCCCACAACCCCCAACCTACACTCTCTACCAGACCAGAGGGGCAAATCTGCCCAATGCCAAATTAGTACACAGCTTGAAACTCGAGGCAGAAACAATCACAAGCAGAGACATATGCTTTTGTGTGCATGCACACACACACGTGCGCACACACATTTACAGTCCACTCACACATGTACACATGAGGCCCATGCAGTTCCACTCACACTCATGCACACTTGTGTGTGCCTACACACACGACACACACACACTTGTGCACATCCACATACATTGACTCACACATGTGCACACACGCTGCCCATGCATGTTTGCGTACACATATGTCCACACATTTGTGCATGTCAACTCACACACAAGTCCACACATGATGTTCACGCACATGTTTATACATGTCTACTCACACACGATTACACACATGCTCATGCACATCCACACATACTTATACACTCGCTTGTGTATGTCCACTCACACATGTTTACATACATGCTTGTGCACATCCACTCACACACGATGTGCACATGCTTTTCTACGTCCCCACACATCCACTCACACATGTGCACACATTCATGCTCATGCACACACAGACATGCACACACAGACATGCACACACATGTGGAGACATCCACAGACAAGTCAGTCAAATTTTTTAGAGACAGGGCAAATCCCATAAAAACCAAGTATGGGGTCACTGATGGCATCACTGGTTGCCCGGGGACATTCTGCACAGTGTGTTTCCAACAAAGGGCAGGCCAGTCAGAGACCGCACACTGACGTGGCACCTGCCCCAACGTCCTCATCACAGAGGAAAAAAGACCCAGAAGCTCAAGATTTACCATGAGAAAGTGGGTGAGCAGGAGGGGACTCAGACCCACCGGGCACTCCCAAGTCTGGGTCTCCACTGGCCTCTGCAGCCCCAGCACGTCCTTGGTTCTTATTGAGGAGATGAGCATGTGGGAACCCCGATGCGCACTTGCCTAAGAGCACTGGGGTGTCCTGCCCTTCCTTCTGCCACCTGTCTCAGGGGAGGGTCCCTGCCCAGCCCCTTCCTCTCTGTTGTTTCTGCCAGCCCCTCAGCCATTCAGGGCTTTGCTTCTCCCCCACACTCTCTATGAGCCCCCACCCTTGCCACCTGCTTTTTTTGTCACCTCACATCTTCCTTTCTTTCCAGCTATTTAGGTCATCTTCTTGATAGACTACAGGGACCCTAAATGGTCCCATCAGTTCTCAACAGTGTGACACAGAACTGACATGTTAATACTGGCAGTGAGCCAACGGGCCTTATTTCTACCTTTTGAAAGCACCAACACTGGACCGCAAGCTGAGCTCTGTAGTACGTGGGAAGACCCTGATGCTGGCCTGGCTTCCTCAAACCAGGTATTTCTAGAGGTCGGCACCTGGGCTGGCTTCCCAGGACAGCTGTCCTCTGGGGGGCAGAATGGATTCTCCTCCAAACAGAGAAAAAAAAAAGCCTGGGTCCAGCTTCAACCAAAGCCGTGACCCCTCAGTCAGCAGTGTGGACAGAGGCTCTGTGCTAAGCTGTTCCTTCCTCATCCTTCCCGAAACTCTGCTCCGGAAAAGTGGACGAAGATGACGCCGACCTGAGGCTGCAGGAGTGAGCCCCTGGAAGACGAGGGTTACACAGCAGCAGAGGGAAAGCCCTGGACCAGGGCAGAGAGGAGGGAGGATCTGCTGTTCAAGGGTTTCTTCACACAGAGCAGCCACTGGTCCCTGGATTACAGATCTGGGGTTGCCCAAGCACCTCTTCATGCAGAACTGGGGGCTCCCTTCTGAACGTGCTGCTGAGCATGGCTGGGTAACAGCCTCTGGAAGGAGGCTCCTGGGACCCGCCCACCAGAGCCTCAAGATGGTGTCTAGCCAGACCTCGCTGCCTAGGGGTATTGGTTCATTGATCAGTTTGGACCCTCAATCAGTGTAGCAGATCAGCTCCCCATGACTAACCTTGAACCCTTGTGACCCTGAGGCCAGAAGTCTGCTAGCTTCCCTGCTGCACTCTTGAATGAGTGGGTTTTAGCAGGATATAGAATTCTAGGTGGAAAAGCATTTTCACACAAGACTCTGAAGTTATCATTCCATCGTCTCCTAGAAGCTACTATTGCTGATTAGAAATCAGCTGTCAGTCTTCCCTTCCTTCCTAGGTCACCCAGCTTCTTTCTCTGGTGGTTACAATTTTTCTTTTTGTCTATGGTGTTCTGAAGTTTTACTATGACAAGTCTACATGTGTAGATTTATTTTATATTTCCTTGCTTGGGACTTACACTTCTTTAAACTGGAGTCTCGTCTCCTTTTTCAATTTTGAAAATTATCAACCATTTACTCTTCAAATGTTGCCTCTTCCCCAAAGTTTTTATTCTTTTGTGTCTCATCTGCCCTTTGATAGTTTGTTATCTCCTTGTCTCCTGTGCTGCATTTTAGGTGATCTCTTCAGACTTTTCTAATTCACTGTTTTCTTCTTCAGCTGGGTCTGTGAACAACCCTGCCACACTGAGGAATCCTGTTCATCTCAGAGATTTTTTTTTTAAGTCCCAGTGGCTATAATTTTTGTTTCAATACAGTTTTTTAGGAATCCTTTTAAGATCTGCTTTTTCTTTCTTTCTTTTTTCCTTTTGGTACTGTCTTGTTCTTTCACTATGAATTCTGTCATTTCTCTTAAACTCTGTATTTAAACACATTATTTTGTCTCTTTCATATTCTTCTATGATTTTCAGTTCTTTTGATGCTAATTCCAGTTCTTGGGTGTGGTTCCAGCTTTGGGTCCAAAACCATATCTCTTGGCTTTGTGGGGGCATCAAAGCCTCAACCCCTTGCCCTGGGAATCTACATCCTGTCCCAAGCCATCATGGACTATGGCAGCATCAGCTTCCTCTCTTTTTGGCTCTGATTTCTTTCTTCATTTTTGAGACCTAGAGAATTCCTGTTCTTTTGTTTTAAGTTAGCTATGTGTTTTTATTTTATTCATAATATTCATGGGGAAGGAAAATCCTGTCAATTCTGTTGATCTTGGTGGCTGTCTTCCATGATAAACTACAGTCAAGAGTACCAGCTTGCACAGGGTGGCTCAGCCCATGGCCAGGATGGGATCAGGGCTCAGTCAATGACTCAGGTCAGGAATAACTTTAGCAGACAGGTAGGGCTCTTTCTATGGCTAGGGAAGAACCAAACCTAAGCCAGGGTTGAAGCTCATTCTAGAACCAGGATCAGGGTCAGGACTGGGATAGATCCTGGCTGAAGCCAGGGTAAAGTCTGGGACTAGAACTGGGTATAGACTGTAGAAGGACAGAGCACATTAACAGTCATGTGACTAGGACACGCTCATGATGAGGACGCTGATGGTCACGAATATCAGGACATGGCTACGTATATCTGGACACACCTATGACGAGGCTATTAACAGTCACGTATCTCGAGACAGGCCCACAATGAGGTTACCAACATCACTCTGGGATTGTGCCCACAACATGCCCCATCAAAGCCCTGACACACTCTTATGTGCCTCCTGCAGCCCACGAAGGCCTGCCCGTCACTGAAGCAGTGAGGTGCACACAGCCCTGTGAGGTCAGCCGCTCACTGTAATTACCCTGCTCAACCAGTGAGTGAGCTGGTGCTGAGAGGGTAAAACAGATGCACAAGTCACACAGCCAGTGCCCGGCAGAGCCGGGGCAGAGCCCAGGGCCCGGACTCCTGCCCTTTTCTCACGTGGGTGAAACGAAGGAGTAAAGTCAGACTGGAGAGCCACAGGCAGCACATGTACACGCATGCAGACACACTGGTGGGCCAGGCCCTGCTTCCGCCACCATCTGGTGGCCCCATATCCATCTCCAGCCCTGTCTCCAGCCCCTTGGCCCTCATCCCATCCACATGTCTCCCCCTCATCATCCCACCATTCCAGCACCCACCCATTTACCTTAGACCTCTTCACACATCTGTCTGTCCTTCCTGCCCTCTCTCCCTCTGCCTGGCTTTGGCGCCAGCTCACTCCACCTGGCCACCCACCCTGGGCTGCCCTCAACCTCCCGCCCCCACTGCTCACCAAGTTCCTCAAGCTCAGCCGTCATGGACTTGGAACGCAGGGTCAATGTGGTGCTGGGGGCCCTCTTGGGGGGCGGCGGGGCTGCAAAGAAGAGGGAGGCCTTGGACCTCCTGTCCAGCAGCAGGCAGCGCGGCGTGGCCAGGTGCAGGTGCCACTTGCGCTCCACCGCCTGGATCTCCTCGTACTCCCGTGAGGACGTGTCACATTGCGCCAGGATCTTGTTCAGGCTGCGGCTGGATGCAAACTTCTTCATGGCGCTGGGAGCTCAGGGGGTGCTGAGGGCCGGGCTGGCCAGGGGCCTCAGGAGGTGGTCAAGAGCCCCAGGAGGGGTCACGGTGCTGGCCAGCTCTAGCCTGAGTGCCCACCCTTTAGCCTCTGAAGGCTGAGCAAGGGGCACCAGAGCCATGGGGTGGGGGCTGGGAGGGGTCCCCAGCAGGCGGGACTCTTGCTGCTCCAGGGCTCTCCCAGACCCTGGAGGCCACTGCCCCTCAGGGGACTCTGGTGTGGTCAGCTAAGCCAGGGCTTGGGCTGGGTCCGGCCAGCAAAGCCTCCTGGGCCCAGGCTGATCCGCGACATCGCGCAGGGAGAAGACGCTCTTCCTCTTCCCTCAGGTGCCACCTCCCCCTTCCCTCCGACAATGAGCGGAAGGCAGCGTCAACCTCACAGTTGCTATGGCAACCCCGGCCTCCAGGCAGCTGCTGGCAGTGCAGGGAAGGAGGGCTCTTCCACACCAGGGGCTGGGGGATGCCAGGAAGCAGGGGGCGGGGATCTGAGAAGGGGTAACCTGGGGTCAGGGGTCACAGACTGGGGGCCAGGGGGCCAGTCCAACAGCAAGAACTGGGAAAGCACCCAAGCCACGAATGGGGCATTTCACTTGGGTTCAGACATCTGATGTCAGCAGTCTGGGGTCAGGGGATGGGCAGAGAAACATGGGCCTGGGATTAGAGGTCTAAGGTCAGGAGCCAGAGGGGAGAGCCTGACACCTCACCTCTGCGTCGAGCCCCGTCTTCTTCCGGCTTCCTTGTCACCGACACAACCTTCATGACGAGACGGTTCCCGCCCTGGCGGATCAGAGCCACCACCTGCTTATGTCCAACCTTCACCACGTTCACCCCGTTCACCTGGGACAGACAGGCAGGTGGGTGGGGGTGGTCCAGGTGTGTCCTCAGGGCTCAGAGGTCAGCACCCACCTAGACGCACAGGTAAGGATGAGCCTCACCTCGATGAGGAAGTCTCCCGTGCGCAGCCCGGCCCTCCAGGCCACGCCCTCCACATCCACAGACTCGAGGTACTGAAGTGCAGGGAAGGCCGGTGTGGGGGTGAACTCCTCGATGGGGGTCTCTGCTGCAGGGTGGGCGGGGCGTTAGGGAGGGGCTTCACTAGTGTGTCCAGGTGGAGGCGGTTGTCACACAGTAACAGCCCAAGAGTGGTGCAACATGGCGAACAGATAAAACCAGGCAGAGCGCCCTGGGCTGGGCAGTGGGCAGGCGCCACCCAGGACAAGAGCCAGTTCGGGAATCCAAGGTACATCCCTCTGAGAAACTCCCCTCTCACCCCCACCGAGAGGCCCCACTGGGTCAAGCACACAAGAGCAGCAATCTTGGACGTCCACAAGGAGGAGGAGTCCCTGCCCTGTACTGAGACATTCCAGACCAAGAGTATAGTCACAGCAGAGGGACAAGGAGGGGTGGGGCCTGGAGAGGGGATGGGGTGACACTGGGGACAGGAGCAGGGGCAGGGAGGAGAGCAGAGGGGCGGAACAAAAGCCCCAAACAGTTTGCAGCCCCTGCCAGCCTGACACCCCAGCGCCCAACCCTTCATTACCTTTGGCCCCCCGAAGCACGAACCCAAAGCCCTCGTGGTCCCGTTTCTGCAGGATGGCCACCTTGTCATCAATGACATAATCGCTGGTGGAGGAAAGCAGGGAGGGGTGAGGGGAAGCCTGCTAACACGCTGGCCAAGCTGACCCCCACGCATGCCCCAAGAAGGGTCCCTCAGGCAGGACCCACCCTCGGAGGGTTGCCCTTGGACGGACCCGGGAGGGCAGAAGACAGAAGGCTGGGCACCACCGCTCCCTCCTCCTTCCTCTTCACCCAGGCCTCCTTGACCAGCTCTCAGCCTCCCTTTACATTTGACATCCCACTCACATGCGTGCCCACCTGCCCACCTGCCCACCTGCCCTGCGGTACCTGTGAGAGGTGAGGCTGTCATAGGAGCCCACAGTGTAGTGGCGGAAAAGTCGCTTCGTCCGGTCCTCCCGTGTTTCTGAGGGGAGTTTCAGTTGCTGATGGAGGGTCATATCCTCCAAGCGGCCTGAACAGCCCCTCAACCACAGTGGTCAGCAGCCTCTGCCCACACCCCCTGGCCTGGTTGTGCCACATGGAAGTGGGGAGTGGGGGAAATCCCGGGTCCTGGGCCCAGAGGTCCTGAGGTCAGAGGGCTGAGGGGACCATATGGGAAATTCTGGCTTCTGGGGTCAGGGTTCAGAACAGGGCAGGGGCTGTGGGTCATCTCTCCCCCATGCACATGGCAGACCGGACAAGGCCACAGAGAATCGGAGCCCGGAGTTACCAGCAAAGATGTCCATGTGTGAGGCACATGTGTGTGGCCCACAGTCGCATGTAAGTGCTGTGCTCACATGTGCTTGTGCATATGCATGTCTCTGTGTCCAGTCATGTACCTATGTCATGCTACATGCCCACATGCACTGCCATGGAAGCAGCACTGTGTCTTCACTGAACCCCTCACACGGCCCACTGATGCTCAACCTCACGGGGTCCCTTGCTCCAGGTCCAGCCTCTGAGTGCACAGAGTCCGGGTGTGGGGGCTGGGTCCCTTCCCTGATGTCACTACAACGCACAGAGCTTTTTCCCACCTGTACTCTTGATCTTGGCGTCCCTCACAGCCACTGTCCCACCCTGAGCCTCCCTGATCCCCTGCAAACCTGCAGGTTCTATGGGACATACCCATCCAGCACCTCCCTGCTCCAGGCTCACTTCTCCAGCTGCCCATGAACCAGATTCTCTGTCTCCCAGACCTCATAGCACCTCTGCCTCCAAGGTGTCCCCCAGATGGTTCCACTGCCACTCACATTTCATCCCTCAACTCCTCCCTCATTCTCTATCATTTTAGTATTTCTCAAGATTAATTTATCCATTCAACAAGTATTTATTGAACTCCTGCTGTGCACCAGGCACTCTTTGTTTTAGGCCTCTGAGAATACAGCAGATAACAGAACTAAGCCCCTACCCTATAGAGTTTACAATTCTTTCGAAGAGAGGGAGAGCAGACAAGAAATACGTATATACATAACATGTCAAATGCTGGTAAGTGTTAAGAGGATGCAGGACGGGGTTACAGAGAAAGTTCACGGTTCTAGGTGATGGAGGGATAATGGATGTAAAGATGGATGGATGGGTGGTCACATGAAGGCCTACCCAGGAAGAGACACTTGAGCAAAGGCACAGGCCATGAGCTAGCCACCATAGATTGCATGGGTAAAGGATTTCCTGGGGGCGGGCACTCAGGGTAGGAAATGAGATCAAATGAGAATCTGATTTTTTTAAAATGTATTTTTATTGATTTCAGAGAGGAAGGGAGAGGGAGAGAGAGATAGAAACATCAATGAGGAGAGAGAATCGTTGATCGGCTGTCTCCTGCATGCCCCACCCTGGGGATCGAGCCCACAACCCAGGTATGTGCCCTTGGGCGGAATCAAACCCGGGACCCTTCAGTCCGCAGGCCGATGCTCTATCCACTGAGCCAAACCAGCTAGGGCCCTATGATTTTTGATAACCTATCTCTTCCACTAATTGTGAGCTAACATTTATTTCTGTGATCCTAGCACCTAGATAACTAGAAGGATAGATGGGTGGACTACTGGGTGGGTGGGTTGTTAGACGAATGACTATATGATGGATGGAGGGAAGGAGGGATGGAACAAGAAATAGATGGAAGGAGGGATAGAGAGCAGGAGGGATGGATGAAGGGATCAAAGGGTAACAGATACATAAACAAATGGGAAGGTGGACTGAGTGGTTTGATGGAGAGGGGATAACTATATTGGTGGATGGATGGAAGGATAGGTGGACATATGGATGAACAGACAGACAGATGGACAGACAGATGGACGAGAGAGTGTGTAGATTAATGGACAGACGAATGATGGATGGACAAATGGATTGGCGAATAGACAGATGGATAGAGGGATGGATAAATGGATGAACAAATGGAGAGATGGATGAAAGAAGGGATGGATGGGTAGATGGATTGATGGATGGATGGATGGATGGGCAGATGGATGGAGGGATGGACCAATGGATAGATGGACAGACAGATAGATAAACAGATGGGTGGGAGGATAGGTAGATAGATCGGTGGGTGAATAGATGGATTGATGGACAGATGGATGGATGGATGAATGGATGGATGGAGGGGTGCATGGATGAACTGATGGTAGGACGGACAGATGGACGGAAGAAGGAATAGATAGAAGTAAAGATGGATGGCTGGACAGATGGACAGGTGGATGGATGGAAGGAGAGGTGGGCGGGTGGGTGGATGGATGGATGGATTGATGAATGGATGGACAGACAGACAGAGGGGTGGATGGATAGGTGGGTAGATGGATGGATGGATGGATGGAAAAATGGGTGGATGAATGAAAGGAAGGAGGGTTGGGTGCACTGGGTGGTCTGGGTGGGTTGATAGATGAGTAGATGATGGCAGGACGAGTGGGTGAGTCAAAGGATAAAGGATGTAAGAGTAGAGGAAGCAGAGGCTGGATGGAAAGAAGAAAGAGCCCCTCTTAATGCACATGTCAGGGCAAGTACTGGCCTGGGTGGCAGGATCTGCCACTACCTTGTGTGATGCTCAGAATGCCGACAGTCCCCTTCCAGGCTCTCCCTATAGAGAAGGGAAATCCACCCTGCGGGGCCCCTAGGTTTATCACCCTGGCACCCTCCCAAGCACTGATCTGTTCTTTTCTCCCCTCTTTGCACACACTGCCCATCGTGACGGACACCCGCTTGGACACCCCTGCACTCACCATCCTGCGTCCCAAGGCCAGAGCAGGCCAGGCCTCATCACTGCTCAGGTCAGCACCAGACTCCTCCTTGCCTCCACCACACCCTTCTCACATTCACCCAACTGTAGACATGTCCCCCGTGCCTGCCTGCAAAAGGACCCCAACTCCATAGTTCACTAGCCTCCCATTTTCAGATTTTGTCAACCAAAATGTATTTATTATATAACACAAATTCATTTTCCAGTTTCATTAATCAGGCACATGAAGCCAGCAGAAGTGAAAACACACAGCATGACCCCCCCCCCCCCAAGTACTGGAAAGGGAGGGAGAGAAGAAGGGAGAGAGGAAGGGAGGGACAGAGGAAGGGAGGGAGGGGAGGACAGCTGCCAGAGCCACAGCCTTCCAGGTGTCCTACAAACCAGCCTCCGAACAGACAGGGCTTCGCCTCATCATCTCCCCCTCACAGCTCAGGGGCTGTAGGAGGCACCCTCTCTGCTAATCCCGGGCATCAGCCTGGCCCCCATGTGTTGGCACAGTGTCCCCTCCTTGGCCTCTAAGTCTCTCTCTGTCCCTACTCCAGTCTCAGAAACAGATCTTTCTTTGGATCTGGGCCTGTTGGAAGCAGGTTCCCATTCCTGGGCTGCCTCTGGCCTCTGGCACAACCCAGCCCCTGGGTCCCAGATCAGACTCTGCCCAGAGTGCTGGCAGGCCCGGCCTGCACCGAGGACAGACTTACTCCGTGCCTCCCAGCAGGCAGACTCCATAGGCCTCTCTCCCTCTGCCCACCCAGGAAATGCTCCTGTCTACCCAGGTACCTTCTGACATTCTTTCGGTGACAAACCCCAGAGCCACCCCATCTAGGAGCCCTGCACTTGCCCAGAGGCCGATAGCTCCTGCAGCAGGATTCTGTGTGCTCTCTCCCTTCCCAAGACTTCAGCCCACCCGCCCCTCAGCCGCCTCCAACCACCCTGCCTGGCCCTCACACTAACCCTGAGTGGCCTGCACACTCAAGACAGCACCCCGTCTCCTCCTGCCACCCTGCCACAAACTCTAGTCCACTGCGTTCCCCCTGGAGCCACAGCCACCTAACAGGCCTCACACCTCCATTCCAGCCCCACCGCCCCTCCCTGCACACTCAGGTGTCACCCACCCAGAGCCTGTGAACTGCACTGGCCACAGCACAGACCCTGCAGCTACCGCCTGTGTCACAAACGAGGCTGCTCCTCAGGCCGTGGGACCGGCCCTCCTAGAAATGGACCAACATCCGCTGTCCTCCCTCTGGGACCTGCTGGGGCAAGCGAGTCGGTTTCTCTATGGGAAGTGCTTGAGACCACAGCTGACACCAGGACGCTGCTCAGAGCACGCCAGGTGGCAGCACGCGCAGACGGGCTCTGCTCCCGCCACCATCAGCTGACCATCCAGAGGACTCCTGGTCACCCTTCAAGGCTCAGCTCAAACGCCTCTGCTTCGAAGCCCTGACTCCTCAGGCACCTGGGAGCATCTTGTGCTAACACTGCGTTAAGGCCGCACACAAACGTGAAACCACTGCGCTGCCTGCTCTTCTCCAGGCAGAGAGCCAGCCTCTGTGATCCTGGCTCCCAAGACAAGATCCAACCCACGTCAAACACCTAATAAACATATGCTATTCTCAAACTCCAGCTCCAGTCCAGACCTCCCTCCCACTCCCCCAGCCTCAGCCTCAAGTCCAACTGCCCTGGAGCCACACAGTTCTCAAACCAGAACCAACGCTGCCCACCCCATGAGGGAGCACAGACCACTCCCAACTCAACTCATCTGGAGGGCCCCTCCTCCCTCTCCCCTCCCCGTCAGGTTTGCACCAAGGCCCCAAACTCTGAAAGCCTTCCTCACCGGAACAGGCCGCCCCACCTACCCTCCACAGGCACACAATCGGGGTCGCATCCCTGCCACACACCCAGCCACCTGGAGAGCCATGGGGGCAAGCAGGGAAGAGCCAAGCAAACAGGAGAAGGCACCTGCTCAGGAGCAGGTCAGAGGCCACGTTCCACACAGGACAGTAGTCCGGGCCACCTCGGGGTAGGCGTCCCTTGGGAAACTCTCAACCCAGATTAAGAGGGCACAGCCACCCAGGGCCCAAGCCCTGTGCAGATAAAGGGCCCTGAGCCCTTGGTCCAGAGATACCACTGGTGACCACCACTGGCCACTACTCAGGAGAGGTCTCTCTAAGCCAGAAATAACGCTCGTGGGTCTGGGAGACTCCTTGGACTTGAGTGCTCATTGCAAGGCTATTTATTCCCCAGCTATGCAGCTGCCCTGGCCTGGGGCCTCCAAAGGGCCTCAGATCACAGTACCCAGAGGGGTCCTTCCTGGAGGCCAAGGCCATCCCACCTGCTGCCCTCAGCCTGCCTGGCTGCAGGGCACCCACAACAGCCCCTCTGGGCCCAACTGGCCTCATTTCCTCTTGGCAGATCCAGGCCTCCCTACACTGCCCACCTGGACAATCTGTCCACTTTGGAAAGACGTCTCTCTTCTCACACTGACCTCATTACTTGTCTGCCAGCCATGCAGGAACCACGCACTCCAAGCACCCAGTATTTCTCTTAGGGTCATGGGGGGGCAGTTGTATGGTCACTGGGGGGCACATGTGGGATCTACACAGATGCATGTTCATACATGTGTGTCCTGTGGGCACAGCACACATGCTTCCACTATTGTGTGGTGTCCGTAGGTACGTGCAGGGTGTGTGTGTGCCGTGTGTCTGCTGTGCACACAAGTTTGCGTCCACGTCGAATATGTGTTTGAGTTTACCCTCGTCTTTTCTCTGAATGTGCACATGTATTCAGCTCCAAGCAAGGCCAGAGGGGAGCTAGGGAGCCCAGGGGATGTGGGGGTCACTCACCATGCCGTGTATCATACTGTCTCATCTGCACCTCCTCCACGCAGTCGGCCGGGAACCAGCCCGTGCGGCCTTTCACGGTCCCCTCCCAGAAACCGCCCTCCCCAATGCTGAGCACTGGGGGGACAGAGGCCAGAAAGGCTGTCAGGCAGAGCAGGGCCACAGGGACCCAGGCCTCCCCCACTGCCCCCACCTCCACCTCAGGCTCAGGTTCTCCCCACCCACCCATCACCCTTCCTCCCTCCCCTTCCTTCATCCTCCTGGCGTTTTCCCTGGAAAGATTTCGGGATCCACACGGAAGAGAAACGAACAGATGGGCACAGCACAGGATGGGCATGTGGGGGACAGAGAGACACACAGATGGACACGCTCGTGGGGGGACAGGAGGCAGAGGCGGGGGCCACCATCCTGCTCCTGCCCAGGTGAGCCCTCTCCTCCCGTTCCATCCTTGCTGTCACCCACCCCAGGGTCACTGACCAGAGTGCAGGTCACTGCTCTGCCAGGGGATTGGGCCACCGATGGACCAGGCAGGCTGGCCCTCAGGACTGTTTCCTCCCCAGGCTCCCCTGGCACAGGGCACCCACGGAGATAGGGCCCCGGTGATGGCAGAGAACCCCAGGCTGAGAGAAGGCACAGGGTTCCCCAGAACAGAGGCAGCCCCGTGCCAGAAGCCCTCCTAGTACACAGACACCCACATCATTGTCACAGACATCACCCACAATGGCACAGGCTCCCCACGGGCACAAGGATTTCCAGGGAAGAAGTCCCAGAAGTGACCTAGGAACCCCCTAACCATAGGGAGTCTGTAATGGGATAGGGCCCTTCGAACACAGAGAATCCCGGTGACACCAGCCCCCGTGACACAGAAACACCCCACGACGAGAGGAGCCTCGGTGGGGGCACAGGGAACCCATCACGATGGAGGGACAGGAACCCCATGCACACACACCCTCCCGGACACGGAGCCCTTCACGACGACACAGGGGTCCCCCGTGGCAGATGCATCCCATCGTGACCGCCGTGGCTCAAGTTCCCAGGGCGACCCCAAAATGGCATCAGCCCCTCCAGACCGCGGTGCACCCGACCCCGCCCCCCGCGCCCCTCA